TTTGGAGACTCACCAACCTTAGCTTGCCTCTCAACAATCTCTCTGGAACAATTCCGACCGAAATAGGCCAACTAACTAATCTAAGGATGTTGTACATGTATGGAAACCAAATCGGTGACTCCATTCCTCAACCAATAGGATTGCTCAGCTCTCTCAATGAGCTCAGCTTGTCTACTAACAATCTCACGAGTTCAATCCCTTCTTCAATTGGAAACTTGGGCAACTTAACCATTTTGTACCTTTATGACAACCAACTTTCTGGATCAATCCCTCAAGAAATTGGGATGCTGTGGTCTCTCATTGAACTCGCACTCTCAATGAACAATCTCACTGGTTCAATCCCTTCTTCAATTGGAAACTTGGGCAACTTGGCCGCTCTGTACCTTTTTGAGAACCAATTTTCCGGATCAACCCCTCACGGAATTGGGATGCTGAGGTCTCTCGTTGATCTCTATCTCTCAATGAACAACCTCATGGGTTCAATCCCTGTATCTCTAGGAAACTTGACAAAGTTGAATGCATTAGACTTAAGTCTAAATTCATTATCAGGCTCCATTCCTTCAGAGATAGGAAATTTAAAACAACTCGGTTATTTGTCATTCATTGATAACCAACTCACTGGCTCTATTCCTCCAAGATTGAACAATCTTACACATTTGAAATGGTTTCGGATAGGTTACGACAAGCTCGTTGGTCATTTACCAGAAAACCTATGCTTTAGTGGATTACTTACAGAATTAGTTGCACCTGACAACAATCTCACAGGTCCCATCCCAAAAAGCTTGAAAAATTGCTCTAGCTCATACAAAGTTAGGCTTGACGGAAACCAACTTTCGGGAAATATATCAGAAGATTTTGGCATATACCCAAGCTTGGTTTACATTGATTTGAGTCATAACAATTTTTATGGTGAGCTATCTAAAAACTGGGGAAAATGCCACAATTTAACTGATCTCAGAATGTCTAACAATAAAATTTATGGTAAGATACCATCTGAATATTAGTAGGGGCAACTCAGCTATCTGTTCTTGATCTCTCTTAAAATCATCTAGTTGGAGAGATCCATTGAAATTGGGAAGGTTGGTTTCACTATTCAACCTTGAGCTGGATGATAACTATTTATTAGGCAATATTCCTCCAGAATTCAGTAAGTTTTCAAATTTAGAGAACCTTAATTTGGCAGCAAATGATCTAAGTGGCTCAATCCCTAGAGCACTAGGAGAGTGCAAGAAACTTTGGAACTTGAATTTGAGCAATAATAGATTTGGGGAAAGGATTCCTATTGAAATAGGCCATATCAACACTCTTCAAAGTCTTGATCGTGGTAATAACTTGCTAATTGGTAAGATACCATAACAGATTGGAGAATTGCGAAGCTTAGAAAGGTTGAATCTCTCCCACAACGAGTTCTTTGGTTCTATACCATCATCTTTCAATAAAATGGTAAGTCTTACTTCCATTGATGTGTCATATAATCAGTTTTGGGTGGGTTTGTTTGTCCTGTTTTATGTGTTTTGTTTTGATTTTGCTTCTAGCAGGGTAGTGGTGTGGTGTGTTGCTTTCATTTTTTAGGATTATGTCTCCTATACTAGACTTAGGTGGTGTTTTTCTTTCAATCTCTCTATTCCTATGGTTCACTTGTGATTGCTTTGTATATGAAATGAAGTTCATGAATCACACCTATGATATTTAACAAGCATTCAAGGTTGGAACCAATTTGAATAGGATAGATAATTCCTTGATCATTTCATAAATTCTTTCCTCCTTCCACTCATTCTCTCGAATAAACAAAGAAATGCTAAATCTTTGTAAGTCCCTAAACCTCAAAAAGGGCTTTTAGTTTATAATATGATCTTCAATTTGTAGCAGTGTAGGCATGGTGCTAGGGCTTGAGCTTTTGCTTTGTTTTCACTGTTTTGCTTCTTTTTTGTGTAGCCATATTGAAACCTCTCCAATTCTAATTTTCTGGTTTGTTGTGGGATTGCTCATGATTAATCATGCATAGGGTGCCAACATAGTTGGAATGCTATGTTTTTGATAATGATGTTGTGTTTGTTCCCACTTTTTGTAAGTTTCTTGATCTACTTTTGATTAAAAAAATCTTTGCTTTTGGTTGATAAAAAAGCAAAAAGAAAAAAGGCTTTTAGTTGCAAAAAAATATCAATTCAAACACAATGTAAAACATCCTCACGATACAAAAACATTACTATAAAGTCAATTTCAAGCATCCAAATCATTCCCTCAACATTGATTCTGCAAAAGCTTTAAGCCTTTTGACCAATTGTACCTAATCATAATCAATTTCTGGAAAATTAAAAACCTTATTCGTTGCCACAAAATTTCTCAAACATTGATTCCAGTACTTGTACTTATATTTACTTGCTCTAAAAGTACATAAAGATTATTTGACATTTCCATTTTTCACATACGGGATAGGAAAATTCATCCTATTAAACATCTTGTTCATTCCTAAAGATCAATATGAGCAAAAAATGTAAGGCTAACTAACTCATTGAAACATAGAAGAAGAAAAAAATAAATAAATAAACAATTGCAGTTATGGTTCTTCATTTCCTCAGTAACCAAAATTATGCTAATTATTGCCTACCAGAGATTTTCTACTTGCAGACTCATCTTGGTATATCCATTAGAATAAAGAAACATCAACAAAATAACAAGATCTTAAAGTCTGAAGTTAATTAAACTAATTAGGCTTTTTAATTGAAGTATGAGTTTTCCATATTTATCATAACATAAACTTGGTAGTATTTATATGTTTCCTCATTTTCTCATCAAACAAATTTGAGTAAAATAAAATCCTAAACAATCAATTTGAAACCCTAGAAACCCTAATAGACATGAATCCACAATTCACGTTAAATTCATTTGAATACCAAAAAGAAAGCAATCACAACCAAAGTAAAGAACAACAATGCTACAAAATCCTCAAGAAAACTCAGATTATATAGGTGAAATTAGATGGCAAATCAATAAATCCACATTAAATCCATCACAACACAGAATCAAGAGCAATTTTCTCAAGAAAATTTCGAATGGCGTACTAGATCAATCGGAGTTCAGATCTGAGCTTCTGGAAATCACTGAATCTCTACAAATGAGGATCAAGTAAGAATGCCTTAAAACATTGATTTCATAGATGTAAAGAGAGAAAGAGAGAGAGAGAGAGAGACAGTGGAGCTCGCTACCTCGCCGGTGCAGATGGTGCTGGCGATGGAGCTTCGAAATCGTTTCGATGGAGCTTCAATCTGAATCTTCGATGGAGGTTAGAAATCGCTTTGATGGAGCTTCGATTTGAATCTTCGATGGAGCTTCGAAATCGCTTTGGTCTGAATCTTCGTTGGAGCTTCGATCTAAATCTTCGATGAAGCTTAGAGAGGGTTGAGAGAGAGAGATATGTGCATATAAGGGTTGAGAGAGAAAGGGCTTAGATTCAAAATAAGGGTTTCAAACGAAGACGCGTATGGCTATCACATTTAGAGGCGTTGCTAAACGCCTCTAATTATAAAACGGTGTCGTTTTGTTTAAAAGAATATGCAACATTTATAAAACGGCGTTAAATATTAATAACAATGATGTTTAAAAAAATGTTAAAAAAACCCCACCATATCTCCGTTTTCCAGTAATGTCACTTTTGGTGAGAGGTCTTTTCTCACACCATCTTTTAAATATTTAATAATCTAAACAAGTGAAATTTTTTTTATTCTCACCATTTTTTTTTTCCCTCTCACCAAACTCTTCCATCCAAATGAAATGTCAGTGGAATGGCAGAACTCACAATGATGTCAGTGGAATGGTAGAACTCACAATAAATATTTTTCATGAAAATTTCTCCTTCCTTCCTTGATTAGTGTGTAGTGTTTTCTTGTATGTATAATCTAACGGTGTAGAATCTTTCATGATCATTTTCATAATATTTTTTTCATGATACCTAACATTTATAATCCATTGATTAACTTTTATCGGTAATTTTTTGGATAATTTTTCTAAGCAATTTTTCAGATAATTTTCTATAAAAGGTCCAGAGAAGTTCATTAAACAATAAGAGATCATGGCCACTACCACCCCCACTTTCCACACTTGCAAGTTTGAGCAAACTAGAGCCACAATTAACAAACTCCACATGCTCTTCCACTTCACAGCCGTACTTGTTGGAAAATTTGGTTTATAAGACTTATTTGGGCCAACTTTGAGCCCAAAATTGAATGGGCCCCAAACATTTTTTGGGATAGGTCCAAAGAGATAATGTGTTCCTTGCCGCATGGTAAGTCACAAGGTGAAGACGGTTTGTCAAAACCATTTATGAGTGAATGAGAACTTGACGTCGTTTTCGGGTTCGTGGAATTGAACAAATTCAAGAATTATATGTGGGTTTCCTTATATGGGTTGTCCCACATTGAAACTTGAAGAGAGCTTTTGTGAGTATATAAGCTCTACGTGTTCAACCTTGGGTTGGGCCCCAAGGGGCACCTCAAATTTGTAGAAAGGAGAAGTTATGGACAAAATGAACCTTAGCCCAAACCACCACGCACGCGCGCCGCCGTGTCGTGCCCGTGCCGGTGTGGATTGTGGGTCGGGTCGGTTCTAACATTAATTTTTTGGAATGAATTTTTTCAAAAATTGCCCAGACAGATTTAAATCTGTCCAACAGTTACAATAGATAGAAACTGTTACAGTTATCTGTCTATGGTTTGAATTGCACCTGTTTATTTGATTCCACAACAGATTTAATTTTGAACAGATTTAAACTGTTTTGGACAGTATAAAAAACTGCCCAACAGTTACAGATCCGAAACTGATAGTTACAGATCCAAAACTGCCAACAGATCTGTTTAGTTCAAACAGTATCTCTTCAATTCAAATTTACACCTATTCACTTCTTGTATGTACCTGTTTGGGTCAGGTATTTTGCCTATAAATTGAAGGCTGTTCCAGGAGTCTTGGGCATCCAAAAAAACATCCAGAATATCATCTGTCCAGTTCATTTC